CTCGCACTGCTCCTGGACATTGTGGCAGACGGGCTCGAGGAGGCGGTCAAAGTCCTTGTGGCAGCCACACAACTCACCGCGATAGTACTCCACCTGAACATCCCGAGCATTGTGGAAGAGAAATTTGCCCAAATCTCGAGCTAAGAGCTGCTCCAAGTAGAACTTTGAGATGGAGGAGCCAGCGAGGATCAGCTGACCCAGCCGTAGGTGCTGCACATTCTCAAGATCAAAGGCTAGTGCAGCATTGCCCTTGACAATAACCTGCTCATCGTCGCAGGGCACCCGCTCCAGCTCCGGCACGGGGGAGGATCCACTCTTCGAGAGATCCGCCCACTTCCAGGTCTGTGGGTCAAACCATTTGCTTGACTTGGGTGGCTTCAGGTGGGCCTTCCTCTCATCACTGTCACACTTGGAGTTCCTTGGAGAGCCAAAGGTTATGGTGGACTCCTCGGCTATTAGGATGGCCCCATCCCTGGGCAAAACCAAACCATCAACGGAGATGCTCTCTGGCAGTGGCAGAATGGCCGGAAAGTGTGTGGGAAACACCACCAAATCCTGCGGACAGGGCATGTACTCATCCAGCCAGGCGCTGGGACTGTTGAAGTCTGCTCCACCGCTGTACCACTTGGTGGCTGAGGCCACTTGGCAGATCCAGAGCAACACCGACCACCACATGATGCCAACAGAATGGAAGTTTCAACTGAATTTTGTTGCCACAATTTCGAGCGTGTATTTTTGGGGGCGTTTATTTAGATATCACGAGAACGTTCCCCCCCACCCATTCCAGACGGAATATGTAGGTACAGACTGATGTGGCAATCAAGATCGAAACCTTTCAGCGAGAGCAAATAAACTAAACCAATGGGACAGGCACATCCAAACAAAATCGATTGTCGTAGGGTATGCGTAGGAACGGGTATAGCACATATTTTAAGGGGGTTTGTGCAGGTGCAAGGAGTGGTTATGAATTGAAAGCATATTTTATAGGAGATTTCCTGGGGAATATATGTGTACCTATGGAAGGAAGGCAGAGAGAACTTCTAATCCGAAATGCCAACTCCAAACTCCACGTATTAAGATCTTAAGTAATCCGTTTTTATGGGTTGTAGATTAGAGACGAATTATGTTAAAACTTAAACTCTCATCACATAGTTTATACAAATTCTGAGAGCAAAATGAGTCGACTTTTCACATCCTTCGCAAACATGCCTGAATCCATAAATTCGCTTTATAAATATCAGACTAATAAATCGTTGGAAAACAACACAAAAACGAACCAACACCAGCAATCCGCAAACATATCTATGTACATGTCTGTACATATGTTCCATGTACATAGAAAAATACATATCTTAGATCACTTTTTGCTCCAACAATGCAATTGTTTCGCACAGAATAGTTGAAGCCTTTTTTTTTATTTTGATTGCGCTGATATAAACAATTATTCGTTCGTTCGTCTAGCATTTACGGAGGCGCTTGACGGAAGCCATTGGAATGCTCCAAAAAAATATAGTACGAGCAGCAGCTAAAAAAGTTTCGAACCGGATGGTAATGGTAATGCTCGTGCGACTACATAAAAGCAATTTGCCAAGGAATACACATATATACATAGTATGTGGGTGCACAGATCTTTCGATATGAAGCACTTTATGCTCACAAGATCAAAGCGTTGAAAGAGAGAGGCAGGAGGCGGAGGAGATTAATCAAGGGCAGGCAAGGTCGTTCAACAATAAACTAAGAGTACAACAACTTTCCGGGCAGAAAAAACCGCAATTGTTTTTATTATTTATAACCAAAACGTGTGCCGCCCGAATATCATTCCTGAATAAACGATTTTTGTACAAGAAATTTCGGCTAAATAATTGCCTTTCCCCGATGACAGACGGAGAGCACAGTCCAGCCACTTGGTGGCCAAGTGAGAAAGAAGTGAGAAATGTGCAATAACCGATCGATTTTCTAAACAATTTTAACGATTTGTAAATACCTTGGAGGCACCATGGGATAAACTGGTCTGGCATTCGTCAGTACCATAAATCTGTTGGTTCATCTGAGCAAATAAATATTGTGGCAAAGAGGAGAAAGAAATCATTTCGCAGAAGATACATCGAAAAGTGCAATCGAAATGCAACGAGCACAAAGAGGCAGAGTGGGGAGTGGCAGAATACAACTTGAATACAACCTCAATGAGCAGACAAACAAATAAACATATGGCAGACATAAATGGTGGAGGCACAAATAATAATAATAATTTTCATTCTGCACACTTGAAATAACCAAAAGCTGGCCGCATTTCCGTCGCTTTTTTAATGCCCATAATATATGTATGTAAGAGTGAAATGGGGCTATATAAATGATCCATAAATCGACTCACCAGACACCAGTAGGACAGAAATTTAACCTTCTGCGGCAGAGAGTCCGGCACCAGGCGACGACTCGCTGTGGTCTTGAGCTTGTAGCTGCGTTGGATCTCAAAGTGGCTATAGTAGAGGCCATAAGCGAATTGGCCCAGGGCACATAGGTGTATGATTGTCACAAATAAACGCGACTTGTATAGCTCCACCTTGGTCATCCTGACAACTATAAACGAAAGCCAAAGTGGGGAGGGGGAAACATCAATTTGTCAGTTTGCTTTTTGCATGAATAAAACAAACATAAAAAGCGGCTTCTTGCCCTCTGCTCTGTGTGTGTGGGGTACAAGTTCGTGCCGTCAAGTCAGGCCAAAGCGCGCACAAATTTAAATCAATATTTGCGTCACTGACATAAATATTTAAATCCACAAAAAACTATCGTTCTTAAGACACAACACACAAATTGAAGTTCCCTGTGGCTTTGCAAGTGTTTATTTTGTATGTTAATAACTTAATGGTGTTTTATGTGCCATTAAGCACACAATTGTTGATTGCTTTAATTTTGATTTCTACTCTAAACAAATCACAAGTAAGCCAAAAGCAAAACGCACGCACGTAAAATATTTATTTTGTATCTGGAATTCACTTATTTGTATCCCCCCTGTTGGTGGTGTTGTTCTCCTCTTCGTGTCGGCGGCACTACTGAACGTGAACTGAACGTGAGTAAAACTGGAGTCGCATTGTGGACCTGGCTAAATGTAACCCATACGCCGCATTGGCCCCTACCCGTTGTGTTGTGTGGTTGTACTTGTGCTGTTGCTTCTGTTTCTGTTTCTGTTTCGGTTTTGGTTTCGGCTTTTTGGCTTTGGTTTCATTATTCCTTTTCTTTTGTTGGTCGTGCGCATGTCCCGAATTGGGGAGCTGCGTGCCTGGGCCCTTTCTTTGTGCGTTGGGCCACATTTGTTAATGGCCAATCATCTGAATGAATCGCAACCACGGGGGCCGCATACTATTGCAGCTCGTAAGTTTGATTTCCTCAGCAGACAAACAGAACGGGGGAGCATCATGCAGCCATATCAGCACATGAAATCCGCAAACACGATAACAACAGTATATCCACTATATTTAGATAATATTTTAGTCATTGCGTCAAAGCAAGAGATAAGAAAAAAGCAAAGGCAGTGACATTTCCAGTTTGAATAGTTGATGGCAGTGCGCGCAAATTCGATATATGTATGCCCTTCGATTGCTAGCTAGTCGGATTTTAGAGGTATTAGTTCTGGTATTTTTCTGCACTTATAAACAGAAGGTATCGGTGCTTAAATGGAGTTGGATTAATCAAAATAAATATGTAAAATTAGCACCAATGAAAGTGGAGTTCAGTTAAAAGTTTTTCCTACAATAGCACCACAAGAATATAGGGTATCGAAACTCCCATACTCATGTTTTTCACTTGTCCCTTGGCCAGCAACATGCTGCCCAACATTTTGGAAGGAATAAGCAACATTTAGTACCCCTAGTGGGAAGGATATCGTTAAATAGAGGACATTTTGGAAACTCAGGCACTAACAAGTCAATCTGTGTTGGAGATCTATCTCAGCGAAAATTTTCAGATCATAGACATCGAGAATGTATCTATGTCAATAGGTACACAGCAAGCATGTGAGAAGGGTAAGAGCTTGTCAATCTAAGATAAGCTTATTATTCATGTTTGAAAGCAGCTTTGAAAATAAAATTTTAATATAATTTTATGCAAATAGCGTATACAAGTGCACATAATATACTACATCTACCGGTTGACAAGCAACAAATTGTCAAAATACGTAGCAATCCATTCCTACTCACTCCCACTTATGCTGTTTTTGTTGGTTGACTTTCTTAAACTTAATTAGGAAATATTCTAAGAAGTGGAAGTCATATAAACTAGCCTTATGTAGAACTGATAGCCTACTCGGATAAAATTATAGTTTTAGCGCTGAGACTTCTAACTCGCTAGTAATATCAAATAGAAGATCAAAGTCGAGGAATAGTGCTCGGTGAAGGTTGGCCTCTAGGAGTAGAAAGTAAGTCCATCTGTTATAGGTGAGAGTAAATAAAAATAAAAGAAAAGAAATAAAATCAAAGAAATCGGTAATTAGTTGGACGATAATGATTTTTTTCATCATTATCCGGTGTTCCTTAGCAAAAGAAATGATTAATTACAATGTATAAGCCGGCGTCTAGCCCCAATTATATTGTAAAGATAGGAGAACTGCCCCCCAAACCACTCCGAGCTGTTCCCTTTCCCTTTAAGAAAACAATATAATTTCCTATTTTTTTAATATTTCAATGTTATCAGATAATATATATGTTTCTTTTAATACTTTACATACATTTACATACTGTAGTTCTCTTGCTTCCAGAAGGACGATTTTAATGAAAAATTTAAATACAAATTTGTGAAACAAATTAGTATTTACAATACGTCAAACGGATTAAATTATTGTTTCACTATTTAAAGTCTTTGCAAGCTGGTAATATAAAAAAGAACATCAAAATCGAGGAATATGATTTAAGATTACGGTATATTTACGGTGTATTTTTGAGGGTTTTACGGTATATCTTATCGATATTGCTATGGTTTTTCTTTCAAAATAATGTCGTAATTATCACTTATAAATTTGGACTGCTCGAAATATTATCAGAAAACGAAATTGCAAGTATTGGCTTTGCAAATCAAATAATTAGGTAGCAAACTGAACATGTCGCTGACTTCAAAGATTACACTGGGCCTGGCGGTGACCGTTTCCAGTGCCATAATAGGTTATGTCCACTATAAACAATCCGAAGACCGGTAAGTGGAGTAGAATGTGTTTGCCTTAGCTGAATGAAACTAAACTCAATGAACTGCACTCCAGCCTGAAACTGCACGAGGGTGTTATACGCGACGTAGAGCAGCAGCAGCGACGCAAACACGAGAACCGATACACGCTGCAGCAACAAATTGACATGACAAAGCAATTGAAGGCGCTGGAGGCCTCCGCACCGTCCCAGTCTCAGTCACAATCGCAGCCGGTGCAACAGCCCAAGAGCCCTGCAACCAATCTCAAGGCTAGTGATAAGGAGCCATCAAGCACAGATTCAGTTTAAACCACAAAATTGTTCAACGTTTAAGTACAAAGTAGACGATACGGAAGACATTGCAACATTTTTGGTGCACTTTTGATTTGGCTTTGTTTTTGTATATAGTATTTACTCAATTTTTATTATTACGAATGTGTGTATAGTAATTACAATCCTAATGGGCGCTCGGTAAAAGTATTTAGCAGGGGGTTTGTACATAGGTGGTGAAGACCCCTTTCTTCTAAATAAACAAAACAATCCGAAGGAAAATGAACGTAGAAATAAAATACACAATCGGCGACTCTTGTCCGTTTTCCCCATTGCAGTATGCAACACGATGTATGAAGAAAGTCCAGAAGATTAATAACGACCACCACCACCACCGCCGGTGCCTCCTCCACCACCTCCTCCACCGCCGCCACCACCACCGCCGCCGCCTTTACGACGATCCCTATCGTTGCCTCCTCGATCATTGCCGCCGCCGCCACCGCCTCTGTCATTGCCACCCCGATCGTTGCCACCGCCACGGTCCATGCCTCGTCCTTCATTTGCAGCTCTGTCGCGCTGCTCGTAGTGGCCGCCGCCAACTCCATCGTTACCATCGCGACGTCGGCGGGGAGAGCGTGACCCCCGGCTGCGGGAGCGGCGCGAACGTGGCGAGCGGGAACGGGAGCGGGCACGCCGACGCCGAGAATATAAATATCTTCGCAGCTCCCTCGAGATGGGCTTCAAGTGCATGAAATTGCAGAATCCGGAACGTGTGCACTCCCCCATCTCGTACTGTCTGCAGCAGGCTTCGCGGAAATCGGTCACCGGCGACAATTCCGAGTAGACAGGTCGGCCGCCGAACCAGCGATTGTTCAAGTCATTTGCTGCCTTTTCTGCATCGGCCTCGTTCCGGAATTTGATGTAGACATTGCCGACCAAATGGTCGCCCAGATTGTCGCACACATTCATCTCCTCGATCTCCCCGTACTTGTCCTCGCATTCGACGAAAACGTCCTCGAAGAAGTTGTCATAATGCTCCTGCATTTCTTCGTCTGATACATTGGCTACCAAATGCGACCCGTCCGCCGATTTGGCCGAGTTCTGCGGATTAACGTACAGATTCTGCAGGAGAACTGTTTGCGAAAATGTCGGCTTGTTGTGTATGCGGGAGCAGCGATCTCCATGACGGCAGGCGCCAATTTTAAAGTAGAACGAGCAGTTTACTCTGCAATTGCAAGTGCAAGCGTCAATTAGTCAAAACACAAGGTACAGGAGAAGCGGAACCATGCTGACTTACTTGTCCTTTTCCGTGCCAAAAATGGATGCCAAATACTCCGCCATTACAGTGGAGCTGAAACGAAAATGCTGCTGGGAAACTGGAGTGCCTCAATTCGAGCAAAGGTTGATTGACGCGAGCTAATTTAATTCGTTGCCTCCCCCTGTTTGTAGTTTTTGCCAGTTTTTCCAAATATTTTCAGCTGCCGCACGTAAAAAAGCAGCGTCTGGTTGTATTTTGCAACAGCGTTGCCAGCTCAGAATATTTTACGTCAAACTATCGATTAGAATAAACAACAGCACTGGCAAATAATTCAATGTGTACAAAATTAATAAAGTACCGGAAACACAAATAAATGGGCTTCAAATTGGCTTTGAAAATGTAAATATTTAAAAAGAAAAACAGAAAAGGTTGACACTATACTCCAAGCTAACTGATTAGATGTGGCATTTCCAACTCACTTACGAGGGGGATAGGAGGAATATCCAAAACGGAAACGAAATGTATTGATGACATACGAGACTGCCATGTGTGATTTCTAATATCTATTTATAATAATATAATATTATATATTTCACTATATGATGTTGTATTTTCAAAATAAAACGTCGATAAATGCGCTTATCGTACAAAAATGCCGCTCGATAAATAGTATTCAAAGTCGGCATATATGTTTGTACCAACATGAAACAACTGTCGATGTATTGGGTATTGATGATGCATCCCATAATGGTCATTTTAATATTATAATCACGTGATACACATTTTCTCAACAAAGGTATATTGATATATCGATAGATTCATTCAATAATCCACAATTAGCATCCCTAACTTCTAGAAAAGTCGGAATTTAGTATTTGGCGGTATATTTTTGAGGGCTGTGCGGTTTATTCTACTGTCACAGTGTTAGCATCCAAATTTCTAGAAAAGTCGGCATTTTTTTTGCATTTTCTGCAACTTTTCGTGCGAACAGCGTGTTTCAACAAGTCACTCCCAAAGGATCCAAATCGATTGATATAGATCGCCAGAATAAAGAATGGACCAGGTAGGTGGAGTGGCAGAACAAAGGAGAACATCCTTTTTACAGCCTTTGGGCCATTAGCAGGTGAATGAACTCAAGGAAAAGGGCAACACGGCCCTGAATGCCGAAAAATTCGACGAGGCTGTTGCAGCCTACACAGAAGCCATTGCCCTGGACAGCCAAAACTATGTTCTGTTCAGCAACCGCTCGGCCGCCTACGCCAAGGCCGGGAAATTCGCTGAGGCATTGAAGGACGCCGAGCAGACCATCGCCCTGAATCCCTTCTGGCCGAAGGGATACTCGCGCAAGGGCGCCGCCGCAGTTGGCCTGCATGACTTTATGAAGGCCTTCGATGCCTACAACGAGGGTAAGTGGTTGAATCATCTCGCCTCGGCCCAACATAACCTCACTTTGACTCCCCCTTGACCGACGCCCTTCCCCCTCACACAGGCCTCATGTACGATCCCACAAATGCAATTTTGCTGCAGGGCCGTCAAGAGATCACCGCCTCAGTGCTCAGCCATATGCAGTCGCAGGGCGTCATTCCCATGGACGTTGATCCACATATGCCGCGGGCACGTCGGGCACCATCGCCAACGCGCCGATCGAACGAGCCGGCAAAGCCAGCCGAGCCGCGGGTGGAGGACATGAGCGAGGAAGAGAAGAAGAAGTACTTTGCCAAGCAGGAGAAAGAGCTGGGAAATGCGGCATACAAGAAGAAGGAATTCGACGTTGCTCTGAAGCACTACAATGCGGCCATCGAGCATGATCCCACGGACATTACGTTCTACAACAACATTGCTGCGGTGTACTTTGAGCGGAAGGAGTACGAGGAGTGCATCAAGCAATGCGAGAAGGGCATCGAGGTGGGCCGCGAGAACCGCGCTGACTTTAAATTGATTGCCAAATCGTTTGCCCGCATCGGCAACACCTACCGCAAGATGGAGAACTACAAGCAGGCCAAGATCTACTTTGAGAAGGCCATGTCCGAGCACCGGACGCCGGAGATCAAGACATCGCTCAGCGAGATGGAGACCAAGATCAAGGAGCAGGAGCGCACGGCCTACATCAATCCCGAGAAGGCCGAGGAGGAGAAGGAGCAGGGCAATCACTACTTCAAGAAGGGTGACTATAGTAACGCCGTCAAGCACTACTCGGAGGCCATAAGGCGCAATCCCGATGATCCCAAGCTGTACAGTAATCGTGCTGCCTGCTACACGAAGCTGGCCGCCTTTGATTTGGGCCTCAAGGATTGCGAGACTTGCATCAAGCTGGACGAGAAGTTCATCAAGGGGTACATTCGCAAGGGTAAAATTCTGCAGGGCATGCAGCAGGCCTCGAAGGCATCGGCTGCCTACCAGAAGGCGCTGGAGCTGGATCCCAACAATGCCGAGGCCATAGAGGGCTATCGCCAGAGCTCCATGAACTTCCAACGCAATCCCCAGGAGGTGCTCAAGAATGCCATGTCGGATCCCGAGATCCAGCAAATCCTCAAAGACCCGGCCATGCGCATGATCCTCGAACAGATGCAGAACGATCCAAATGCTGTGAAAGAGTAAGTTTTTCCACATCACATTCACTTGCTGGGAACAGCTTTCAATTTTTTTGATTTTTGTTTTTTTGTTGCAGACACTTGCAGAATCCTGCGATTGCCGATAAGATAATGAAACTGCTGGAATCGGGCATCATTCAGATACACTAGGCACTCCATATACATACACAAAACACACAGAAAACATATTGATAAACATTCAGGAGAAGAAAAGAAACCAATAATACGCATTATACGAACTTTATTGCACCATTATGGCGCAAGCCTCTTAACTAAACTATCGTTTATCAATTTATAAAGAAGGGGGCAAACACAACAACAACAATTAACGCTAAACATTACCTTAGAAATCGAAACGCCTAAAACGCAGATCGACTATAACTACAACTAACTACAGAAAATTAATCACAAAACTCACACACACGAAACACACAACTAACGAAGTGTCTGCCTAGTTTATTTACGCAGATGGCTGAAGTGGTCTCCATCCGCAAAATCCTTATTTTCATACTACAATATATGCTGTAGCTTAGCTCTAAAATAAGTTTTTGAATGTAAAATAAATGAGTCAAAGAACGGTATGGCACACGAGTTATCATTTTGAAAAGCCCGCTTAAGTGTTGTAAAGCCATCTGTTCTGTGTGCGATTTTACACCACTAATATCAGTGGTGCCAGAGTAGAAAATGATCGGTTGTGGGTGACAGTATCTAGAAATAAAAGAAACGAAATAAAATTAAAAAAATCGGTAATTAGAATTTCTTTTCTTTTTATTTGCGCGCACTATTTTTCACCTTCTTCAATGTTATCAGTTAAGCCTAGTACTCAGATCAAAAAATAAACTTGCCAGCAAAATGTGAAATATATTTGTCATATGTCAGTAATTAGATTTATATTTAATCATAATTAGACATTGAATCCTTCAAATTTCTGTTAAATATTTGGCTATTCTGCTAAGTATGTTATTGGTATGTAGAAAATTTGTAGTAGTAAAGTCATAAGGTCATAACGTATACCATCCAATAAAAATGAGTATTTCAAAAAAGCCAACTTGATTCTTCAAACGGATTAAATTATTGTTTCAGTGTTTAAAGTCTTGGCAATCGAGTAAAATCACATATATAATATAAAAATCGAGGAATATGAATTAAGACTCCGGTATATTTACGGTATATTTTCGAGGGTGCGACGGTATATTATATCGATAATTCCGTGGTCACGCTTCTTCCCAAAAAAAATGGTGTGCGATTGTAATTTTTGTCGTCCAAAAAGTGCCGTATAAAAATGTTTTAAGTTAACCCCACCAAACCCGGCCATGCACAAAGAAGCAAAGTAACGAAATTTGACTCTATAATCGACAAATATCACACAAAACCATACGAATCCTGCACATTAAAGCCAACCATTCTTTTTAACCAGTGTGTCGTATTGCCGTTGTATTAGTGCCTGGCTGCGTGTGTGTGCGTGCGTGTGCTCCACGAAATCGAGAATAGAAAGATGTGTGTGCTCCGGTAGTGGTAGTGGCGAGCTATAAGCGTGAAATTAACACACCACAAGAAAAAACGCGAATCGAAATTCAATAATCAAATCTAAGCCGCCGCCAGCTAACCTCCTCCTACTCCCCCCTCCCCCAAGAGTCAAATAAAACAGCCAACACAAGTGAGTACCAAAAAATCGTCAACGCTCCCCCCTGCCCCTTCGCTACACAGGGTTGCCCAAGATGGCACGGACGGCATGGCCAGAGCGAGAGCGCTTGGCAACAAGCGAGAGCCGGGACGCCACTATAAGCGCTTACATGTGTACCGTACCTCTCTATTGCATATCGTACTATCTTTTATTTTTGCGTTTTTGGGGCTGAGATCTCATTTGCTTAGAGCGTTAGACAGAGAGAGAGAGAGAGTGCGAGAGAGTTGATTTGGTTGGAGATATCTTTCGTGGATTGTGCAGTTGTAGTCTTTTGGTTTGTGTTTCATACTAAGATCTCCATGCTAAATGATATATTTAATGGAAAGTTTAGACGCTCTCTTATACCCTGTAATATAATTTGAGCTTGTGATTTGAGATTTCTGTGGCTGTGAGTCTTTAGATTTGAATGTTCTGTTTACGTCTAATGGGTAGACATAACTCAGGCTTGAAGTAATAAATGCTGGCTGAGAGATCATTTTTATACATTCAATAAGATCCAAAATGAAATGCTCCTCAATCTAATCACATTTCCCTTGAAAAACAATTTCTTTTCTCGTCTTGCAGTGCAACCCTCACCGCTGCATTACTCAACGATGCGGCCGCAGGCTCCCGGATCGCTGGTCGATCCCTATGAGGATGAGCTTCGTATGGCGCCCTGGTATTGGGGTCCCATCACCCGGGAGGAGGCAAAGAACATACTGCACGGTATGCCCGATGGCAGCTTCCTGGTGCGCGATGCGCTCTCCAAAAAGGGAGAGTACACACTGACGCTGATGAAGGACGGGAACGAGAAGCTGATCAAGATCTGTCACATCAATGGCATGTACGGGTTCATTGAGAAGAAACTGTTTAATTCGGTGGTGGAAATGGTGAACTTTTACAAGGCCAACTCCCTGAATATGTACAACAAGACGCTGGACATAATGTTGAGCCATCCGATTGTGCGAACGTACGAGGAGGATGATGCCCATCCGCACGGTGATCTGGGTATGCTCAGCAACGAGTTTATACGCACCTCGCAGATGCTGCAGCAGCTGGAGCAGAGCCTCGACCAGAAGAAGAACTCCTTCAATGCCATTCGCGAGGAGCTGCAGGAGAAGAAGCTGCATCAGTGCGTGTTTGGGAATGCCGAAAAGATATTTCGCGATCAAATCAAACTCAACGAATCGGTGATGAAGACACCCGCCGGCGAGAGCGGTGCACCGGAAAGCGGAGTAGCATCCACGCTCGGCTCAGCCGCTGGTACGGCTGGCCCCTCCGCTTCGGCGTGCAGCAACAATGCCAATACCCGACAGAGCCTTCAGGAGAACCAGGCCCATCTCCTGGCCCTGCTCGAAGTCATGCAGGAGAAGATGCAGCAGCTGAACCACTACATGGAGAGCAAGAAGAAGGAGGAGCTGCTGCTCGAGCGACAGATCAATGCCACCAAGCCGGAGCTGCAGATGCTGCAGTTGCGCAAGGACAAATACATTGAGTAAGTGCTTCCACCGCTGCTTCTACCAAATCGAAATCGTTGACGTCATTCTCATATGTAAGCTCTTTCCAAGTGATTTGCTGATTAGCGTGAAGAAGCCCCAGCACCACCAAGCGACAGACACACTCATAGGAAACAGACCTCTTCTATTTGATTGTGTGTGCCTATGTGTGTGTGTGTGTGTGTGTGTGAGTGTCTCTGGCCTGGTCACTCGCCGGTATCATGCACTGCAGTTTGCAGTTTCTGTCAGCCGCTGAGGGAATGTTAATGCATAAACATCATCATCATGGGTCGGTTGCTCGGTTCTGGCTTTGGCTCATTTTACACGCGGGCCAGCAGCGACGATGAGACGATCGCTCATTCCGAACAGTCCGAAAGTCTGACCGATACCGATGATAATGGCATAACATTGTTAACTGTTTGGCTTTGGTTTTGGTTTTGGCCACGCCAGCAGCAATAGCAACAGCGCATTGGGGGTCTACGTGCCTGTAAAGCCTTTAACTGGAAACTCCTCTATATACTTAAGCATTACCCCCACCAACCCTATCATGCACATATATATTTTATATATCTTCAGTTGGGGGTATTGGTATCTCCTATCGCATATCGCCCCCCTCCTTTTTGGGGCGGAATATCCCAATTCACCTTGGAAGTAGTCCACTACCCTCTGTTATCATTCATTTGATTAGAAAGTCTCTCGGATTATTTCAATTTCTTTGCGTGAAGGGAACCCTTTATCAACGCTTGACCATATAAAATATACGATTATATTCTCTTTTCTATATATATTTTTTTTTGCCACATCAAGGTCGTATTTATCGTAAATGGCAATTGTTTATATGTTTATATTGTTTATATTAAAGCGTTGAGGACTAGAAGAATTTCTTGAGACTTTAAGGGAGAAACCCTTTTAGCGCGAAAAGTTTTACATATATTTGTATATCAGGAAGAATGTGTGGACAATTTCCAGGATTATATATAGTTTATGGCGGGGTTTTATTTGGGTTGCTTTAATTTATTTTTAAGGGAATTTATATATTTTATTTTGTGGAGATTGAGACAGAGTTTCTCTCAAGACCTGGAAATATTTTCCTGGCAGAAATCTATCGATCAAATATCCTATTTCAATGGATCCATAATATTGCCTAACATTAATAAGGCACAATTATTTGTGCAAATATTTAACTCCCCTTACATTTATTTGAAACCAATTTGCTAACTTGATTAATTGACGATTAGAAACACTTGTCCGCTTCTTTGTAGATACTACCAGCTCTCTAATTAAATACTTAAACAATAGAACTATGATGCCGCGGCATAGCAACAGTCATTTAAAGTGTACATTGTACGTCATCGTTGGATGGTTTTTAGTAGCAGGCTCTCTCTTTAATGGGGGGGTTTCTATGGGCCTTACCTAGACTGTGGCCCCGCCGTCAAACCAACGAATGACTAGACCGAAAAAGAGGCAGTCTCCGGACGGTTAGATAAGGCATAGAGCCGAGCGACTTTTTGCTAAAGATAGCTCTCCTTATCAGGCTTTAAAAGTTTGCCAAGTTCTTAATAATTCCGTTCCGTTCTGTCTTCTATGAACTACACATTGAAGACATGTGTATGTATTAAATGAACTACATATATAATGTGATTTTATTTTGTTGTGCAAAAAAAAAACGCCAAGGTTTGTGTAACAAAATGCAAAGATTAGAGACCGGCGATAAGAAAACAACAAAAAAATACACAGTGGACATGGGGGAGGAATTCGACTTGGGTGGAACTGTCACTGGAACTGGGACTTCGATTAGGTTATACGATTAGATAGTAGAATGAATGAGTCTATCTCCTTGTGGAGCTTCGTTTGGTTGCAAAGATTTACGATATGATACGCGTAGCACAGAGACTATTGCTTATCTCTTTCCACACGTGAATCACTTCGGATCGCCTCCGCAGCTGCCGCAACACAAAGAACGCAGCCGAAGCCCCTCCCCGTTTTGATCGCCTGATCAGTGATGAGGAAGCCTATGGGTCTAGACGAGCGTAGACTCAACGGCGGCAGCGGCAACAGCAACGATTGGCAGTGGCAGTGGCAGCAGGAGCGGCAGCGTCATCCATCCAACAGTTATCGTCGCAGTTTCGTGTCCAGTTGAAATGGCACACAGTGGGGGCTACTGAACTTATATTTATTTGGAAGTTATTGTTAAATCAACACCAGTCGAAGAAGAGGTCTTTCGCTTTAACTCGCTGCAAGTGAAATTTGTCGCAGATTTTCTTTTGTTTAATCTAGTTAAATGCTGTATGGACATTTTATTGGTTAATTTTATATGCAAACTTGAAATGCACAAATCAAACAATCTCTGTAATCACAAAACTTTCTTTATTACTTCTTCTATTTTTAGGCGCCTGAAAGGATTCAATCTCACGGAAGACGATCTGAATGCCATACTGGAGATGGGTTTCGCGAATTGGCGGCAACAGTACGAGAATGTCTTGAATCTGCCACACAGAAACGAGACCTACTGGTTCCTGAAGGATGCCACGCGTCGTGATGCCGAGGAGCTGCTTCGTGGCGCACCTTCTGGCACCTTCCTGATCCGTGTGCGCAATGCCGGCCACTATGCGCTGTCGATTGTGTGCAAGGGCAATGTTCAGCATTGCATCATCTATGAGACGGAGAGTGGCTTTGGCTTTGCGGCACCCTACAACATTTATCCCACGCTGAAGAAGCTCGTGGAGCATTATGCAACCAATTCGCTGGAGGAGCACAACGATACGCTGACCACGACGTTGAGACTGCCTGTGTACTATTGGGAGCAGAACAGGGCACAGATTCTCGAGGAGTTGGAGATGGAGCGAGAGCAGGAGGCAGCGGCATCGTCACAGACATCGCTGGGCAGCAGCAGTGCGCCCATACCGACGCCCAGGGTACGTTCCGATCAGGATCAGGTGGATGGTGGTGAAACTGAGACGCCACCGGCCTCCATTTCGCCATCAAACTTCAGTACATCGCAGTAGGAATTCCCCTTAAAATCTCTCCCCCCCCACACACACACACATTTACCTCCCCTCACAGGCTAGCTATCGTTTCTATTGTATCTAAATCTATCATTCTCTCTCTCTCTAACCTCTCGCGCTCCGCTCTAAAGCTATATATCTCTCTATCTCTATGTGTATATACGATATATACATCATCTATAATATATAATATATAATATATATTCGTATATGAATATTTTGTTGTCGTGTGATGGATGGATGGCGTTGCAGTCCAACTGCTTCGGGGACCATCCGCAAACAAATAGAGAAAAAACCCAGGCTCCAGAAAAATAACTACAGTGTTTTGGTGATCATATAGATGTTGTTTAAACTATACACATATATATATATGTGTGTATGTATGAGTGTAAGCCAAACTTTAAAAGCCACAAAGGAAATCCACACGTTTTATACGCATACATAAATATATACATATGTCGATATATGGTATATATATTTGTATATCCTTTATTTGTAATACTGCATTTCGCGTGATAATTGATAAGTCAAGCATCTGTTGTATCTGTTGTAACCCCCTGCCCCACACCCTTTCCTGCTCCTTTAATTATATTGTTATCACGCTGCGCGTTGTCGTCATCATCGAGTGGGAGGGTTATATATATATATATATATTTATATAGTATATAGTATATATGTAGGGGAGGGGTAGCCCTCTGAAGAAATTCTACGATATTTCTTCAAACCATTTTGTTCGTGTGTTCATGTAAATATATATAAAGTACTTGCGGAAACAAAGGGACAACACACACCCACACACAGAGAAATTTGTGAATTCAGGTTAAGGTTTTGATAACCATATAGCCCAGCCCCCTCTCTCCTCCACCTCACACACACACACACACATACAGCCTGTGCCCGCGCTGGCTCTAATATTTGTTGTTATATTATGATTGATTTTGATGTAGTTTTAAGTCAAATGTACGTATGTTTAAACGATGTGATCACTCGATTGTTGCTAAAATAGTAATTTCCTTTAAACAATATTGAAAAAAATATATCTATAATATATATATTTTTTTTACAATTAAGAACCCACACAAATACACAGAACCAGATTGGCAAAACAAAGAAAAGAATTAATGTACAAAAGGAATTCAACCCGAGAACAACAACTAAAAGAAATAAGTGCAATTGGCAAAAGAGTTATTTTAAACAACTTTTTATTAAAAGATAGATTTATGTTTGAGTGCAATTTCTGTTATGTCCAATAGATATATTCTCACACACACACACACACACCCACACACACACAATAATGAGTGCAATTTCTTTATATGAAATAGATAATTATATAGCCCCCCGTTGTTGTTCCCATTTTGTTCTCTTGTGCCAGCCACCCTTAATGTTCGTTGGAACTCGATCCCCTCTTTCGTGCTTCCTGTTATGCATTCTCCTTTGGCTTCGCTTTCGAAATCGAATCGAATCGATCATACATTCTCCCCTTGGCTAATCGAAATCGTTATCGAATCGATCACACACCCACACATGCGAGCGTCTTTCAAATATTTCTCTTTACAATATATAAATTAACAATTATTCTCCACATACTTTATGCCTATATGTAACTCTTAATTTACGTTTAATTTATTTAACTTGTAATTTGTGTGTTTCATTAAATTTTGCTTAAATTCTATGAGATTTCGGCGGATCGGATCTCGTACGTTGTAGTATTTATAAGTTTTAAAATTAATTCTCCATTTTTTAAATTGCGTTTCAACAACACAAAACAAAACAAAAAAAAGAGAAAACCCCAATACGTAAAAGAACCAGATTAAATGTATTCTAAAATATGATTGATGCGCAATCAATCATGCTGATAAATGATGATGACGTTTTTTGCCATACCCTCAATGTTAGATGGAAATATTTGTGTATTTTGTGAATTTTTTGTTGTTGCTTTGTTTGTGATTTCCATCCTCTGTCCTCTGTCTCTGCGATTTTCATTGGTCTGCACTTTTGGCGCAGACCGGAACCAGAACAGAACAGTGGAGGAATATGAACTTAAAAGTAAAAGAGAAAGAAAAGAGAGAAGGAAGGAAACAAAACGAAGAAGAGATGCGATAATGAAGAAAACAAATGATAAAAACTAAATGTGAAACGAATTGCAAATTTGTTGTATTTTTTTATATGAATATATACTGATATATAGATAGATATATATATGATATGATGTATCTGTACGAGTATAACCCGCATACATGCCCATTAAATATGTATGCCATTAGAATGCTATATGTTGTAGTTCATAAGATATATGTTGTAGATCTTTAAGCGCTAACAGCAACAACCACAACAACAACAACAAACAATTTTTGTAGTAGTTTTTTAAAAGAAACAACGAAAAAGAAAAACCCGAAAAAAAATCAAAAAATCTAAGTATGTATTTGTATTTGTGTCTAAAACCGAATGTTCGTAAATAACACAAAAACAAAAGAGGAAAGAAACAATAATAAAACGAATGAAAACAAGAACAAGTCGTCAGTGAATTGAATTGGATCGGGATAAACATCAGACAGTTCTGAAAATATGCTACCAAATAATAATTCTAATACGAAAGGGGGCCCTGCCATATCTGCTCCACTCCGTTTTGTCGGTCTCTCTGGAAGGTATGGTATGGTATTCTTTTTGCTCGCTATTCTCGGTATTGAGTGTCGTCTTTCAATGAACGAACCCTCCTGCCATCTCCGGCAGTCATCGTCGTCGTCGTCGCCCATCATCCAGCGATGCATTCCGCTGAGCTTGCCGAAATGTCGAAAAATCACGCGCTGCCCAATGGAACTGTATGAACTACCACCAGCCAGAGCATGCATAACAGGAGTGGTGGCACCAGTTCAACAAATGGAGTGACGCCTTAGGGAGCTACTAGGGTATTCTGACATTTTAATTAGTTCGGAAAAATGCATAGCCTAAGTCTCTTCTTCAGTTACAATCTTTGGAGAAAGATCTATGACTCTACTTCTGCATTGAGAATTGAACACTTTCCATCGCTTACCTTTGTACATAAGATTTTCTTTCTAATTGATCCGTCAGTAAAAGGGGATTTTTTAAGGTCAAAATGACAGAAGGTGCGAATACCATCTAGCAGCAGCGTAGTGAAATTCCACGCAGGCAAGGCTCCTCTTTGGGTACGTACTTATGCATTTTAAAGTAAGCTGATCCCTTAATGAAATAATGAAAGCACATGTCGTACATGCAAAATGATGCATCATCAAGATTTGGATAAGAGACACGGCAGAGTTATTTTCGGCTGTAATCCTAAACAAGAGTTAAGCCAAGTCAAGGTAAGATATATGTAGCTTATGAATGAAAGGGGAATTTTCTCTCAAAGAGCGTGTTAGACAGGCAAAGTTGGGAATAAATGTAAATATATTTCTGATCAACATAAATGATCTGTGGAAATGCACAATTGCCGAGGGTTGGCCCATTGTCCTGGAAACTAAGTGGGTATTACCCAAATTAAAGACAAAGTTTAGCAGGAGACACTATGTCCAACGGTCGACTTGCAGCCCAACAATTTTAGAGCTCTTATCAGCCATGGTAAACATTCAAATTGCCGGGCATTTCTACACGTTTTCTACATTGGTGCATTGGTATGTTTGCAGTATATGTTTACTCGCAAAAGCGTGCTACATGCGAGCATAACACGGTATATTTCTGAGGTATTTTTCGGTACTTCTCGTTTTCTTTCTCCCATCGTCGTTCGTCGGATTTCCTTCCCACAACTTAATTTGGAAACATTCCAAGAAAAGGAAGTCGTGAAAGCTAGCCAGTCTTGTGAAGAACTGATTGATAAATCGGATAAAATTATAGTTTTAGCACGGAGACTCTTAACAAGCTGGTATTATTAAATAGAACATCAAAATCGAGGAAAATAATTTGAGATTCACGGTATATTTACAGTATATTTTGAAAATGCAAGGGTATATCTCGGTATATTTCTGAGGGTCTGATAATTCCGCGGTCACACTGTTGGTATTTTTCGTTTTCTCCGTCCCATCGTCATTCGTCGGCACTTCTTCCCCACCGCCATCCGCCACAAACTTTTTGAATACGGTCGTGTGGAGCTTGGAGCTGTTTGGCGCTTGGAAAAAGCTGCTAGTAGTACTCGTGCCGCGCTGCCGCTAAAACATGGTGAAAACAAATTCTCGACCAAACTGAAAACAACAAGTCGTGCGTGTGCGTCCATAGAAATGTGTAAACAGCTGAATTTAACTCGATAAAATATATTGTTTAAATTCTTTTGGGATGGATGCTATTTGCCGAGAGAGGCAGAAAAATATACTCCCTGCGGCCCCTTATCCACCCTAAAAAGGGACTGGAATGTGGTGTTTATGTGTATTGGTGCGGTCCAGTTTTGTGTACATCAAAGTCCTTTACGCTTTTACCGGGTGTGTGGATAAAATAAAGAAAAGCCAGTGGAAAAGTTGTGTGTGCTGGAGAAAAGTGTGCGAAAAAAAAGCATAAGGACAACGAATTAGTCATCAAGGGCAGCGCAGCACACTGCAGCGCATCCTGTCCGTTTGTGAACGTGTACACGTGCGTGTGCGTGTGTAGTGGTGTCTATTTTTGTAAAGTCGCCGGTTTTTGCACAACAGCAAAAACGCCAACAACAACTTGTTTGCTCCATGCTTCAACGCTTCCCGAACCCTTTGCCTTTGCCGCTTGAGTAGGAGGAGGGGGAAAAGGAAGTCGAGAGAATGGAGCGAAAATTTACGCGCGGCTTGAATAAGCTCAGCTCGGCGGTGCAGATGAGAGAGAATGTCTCTCAGCTGGTGCGTGAGAGCGCCGTTTTGGTAAGTAATCGTTGTTTTTGCCGGCAAAGTAATACAAGGTGGGGACATTCCTGCTATTCCAGTTGGACCAATTGAGCCACATAGAATGACTCATCTTGTATTAAAACTCCCTGCACCTGCATCTCATTCCACTAAAGGTAGATTCAGTCAAAACTGCATCATCTTTTCGATATACCTTGATTCTATTCATGATTCTGTGTCTCTCATTCACTGTCCCACCATTCTGCGCTCTCTGTTTTTGTTTTACAGTTTTATTTTCGTACAAAACTGCACATTTCTGTTGTCCATGTGGGTGTGTCAATTTCTCTCTCTCATGCACTTTGTATTTGTTGCTGTCGTGGCTGTGCGTGGGATCAGAGGAATATATAAAACCGAAATGATGTACATATAATTTTGTCTATATTTTCTTTATTCGACGGAATTTCCCACAAATATTTCTCCCCACTCTACTGTCCTATTGCAACACACACAATCATAGGCTCTCTCGTTGGCAAACATCCAAAATGTTTGTGTTTTAATATTATTTTCTTTTTACTTAGCACATTTCATCGTCAGATCATAGGTTTTTATAAGGAAAAATATTTCATTCAAGTTCCATTGCATAAGCCAAGTCATCGTAAGGTTGTGAGTGGGAGAGGGCAGGGCAAAAGAAGACTTGTTCTCGAGTGGAAGTCTGTTTGTTATTAGTGATGGGAGCGGGTAGGGCATGGTAAAGATATTTTGTTTGGAATGAGATATGACGTGAGACATGAATGTACTCATGCAAGTTCTGTCATGAATGGAGAGCCCAAGTACATACCTAATTTTGACTCTTACTGCATTTTGCGTTGGTACTCTCAGGTGGGACCTGTTTCTTTCACTCTTCCTGCTCTTCTATTTTGAGTGAAGTTGATTTGATTAGAGTTTCCCCCAGCGAGTGCTTGACACGTCAAGGCCGTGAGTGTTTCTAGATTCCCCAGCATCCTCGCGTGTTTATATTCCGTGCTAAATGATAATGGGGTGTGCCTAAGAACACAAAACAGTGGCAATTCCCTAAGGTGGAGGGATCACTGAGGGTAATTTATGTTGTTAAAATAAAATGTTATGTTTGTTTAAGTCTAATCGAGGGAGATGTTAAGTTTGTGTAAGGCCAATAAAAAATGTATGTTTGTGTTTGTTTTTCGATTATTTTTAGACTGTTCAAATTCCTCTTATCGATGTTTGTCTGTGCACAAGGCATGACTTCATTTTTTGGGTGCCTCACCCACGTGTATCGGTCTGTTCTCCACCTCCCACACATTATTTCCCCACTAATTGCATTATAGACCACCGAAAATCATATTAGATCCGCCATTATCCACGCTTCCAATGTCAATTACGAGTGGGTCTCTCCTCCCTCCACCACCCCTGGCTGCTTCAATGCTTCTCCCATAATTCAATTAGTGCGTAAAGGTTCGATTTCGAGGCCAAAGTATTGGATACCCTTGCAGATCAGGTGCACGTGAAGTTCGATCGTTGGAGAGTCTTGTCAACTGTTGTTTATATTGAGTTCCTTTCTGGAATGAAATGTACCCTTTGCATGGTGTAGTGTATATGGGCAGTACCGACTCTAATGATTGGTTGATGGTTGAGTGGGTTATTGTGGGTGACAGTGGAGTGTGTCTTCTTCCAACATTGTCATGGAGTTTTGCACATCCCAAAATGGTAGAAAATTGCTCCAAGTCTATTTTGGGGGACATTTCTCTTTGTCTCCTTTTCCTGCAATCATCTCCAACTCCAACATTAATTAAATAGGTCGATATAACCGAACAAATGTTGTCCACTTTAATGTAGTTCGTGGGGTCATAACATAATGAAGCTTACCCAAAAAAAATAATAAAGATAAAATGTCTAAAAATACTTTCAACAATAATTATGCATTAAATTATTTTCTCGGTTCTTTTTTGTCGAAACATGTGCCGCAGTGT